TATTGTATTTTAAAGGGTGATACGGTCAAAATTTGGTCAATATCAACTTGACGTATTTCTTTCAATTTTGCATTTAAAAAACCTGAACACCCCTCATTTTGAAGGTGTGTGTGTGTGTAGAATGTTGCTCCTATTTTGATTTTGGAATTCACTCTTCAGTTGTCAAAATGCCGTCCAAGCAAGAAGAGCAGCGTATCAAAATTTTGCTCGCGCATCGCGAAAATCCGAGCTACTCGCACGCAAAGTTGGCAAAATCGCTAAAAGTTGCCAAATCAACCGTTACAAATGTAATTAAAGTGTTTGGGGAACGTTTGTCGACAGCCAGGAAGTCTGGATCGGGGGGAAATCGAAAACCGGAAGCCGCTGAGACGACAAAGAGAGTTGCCGGTAGTTTCAAGCGAAGCCCTAACCTCTCTCTCCGAGATGCCGCAAATAAGCTGGGTGTATCGTCTACAACCGTGCATCGAGCCAAAAAACGAGCCGGACTATCGACTTACAAGAAGGTAGTGACTCCAAATCGCGATGATAAACAAAATACGACGGCCAAAGCGCGATCCCGGAGGCTGTACACGACGATGCTGACGAAGTTTGACTGCGTGGTAATGGACGACGAAACCTACGTCAAAGCCGACTACAAGCAGCTTCCGGGACAGGAGTTTTATACGGCAAAAGGAAGGGGAAAGGTAGCAGATGTTTTCAAGCACATGAAACTGTCAAAGTTCGTAAAGAAATATCTGGTTTGGCAAGCCATCTGTACCTGTGGCTTGAAAAGCAGCATTTTCATAGCTTCCGGGACTGTCAACCAAGAAATTTACGTGAAAGAGTGTTTGAATAAACGTCTGCTGCCTTTCCTGAAGAAACACGGTTGTTCCAACAATCAATACGAAACTAACGATTTTAAATTGGCTCACCACTTTACACACAGAAAAATTTACCGTCGAAACAAAAATATTTGAGGTAAATTTAAACGTAAACTCAGTTTGTTCTGGCCACAAACATAAACTAGGTTGATTTCAAACGTATTCTATGTTTGAATTCATTGATAATAATGTTTAAAACAAAAATAATGTTACGTTTATTTTAAAAATATTCGTGTTGAAAATAAACGTGAATATTTTTGATTTATTTGAAAACTATATGCGATCAAAAATTAATATGTTTATTTTAAACATGCTTTTCATGTTTAAAATAAACAAACATATTTTGAAATTATTTGGCATTTGAATGCTGAATCAAAATAAAATTGATAGCAAATAAATAGAAATTTCTGCTATTATGGAAAGTCTGTGGATGTTTGGATCCGGGGGGCCGTCGGGGTGGGTGTCCGATCAGATCCAGTTCAGTAAAACCGGTGAAACTTTGTGATATTAGCGTCATTTTTCGTTTCTGACGCTGGTCCTCATACCGGCCTCTTTCTAAGTTTAGTGTTCGGGGATGATCTGTTTTTCTTTCGACGTCGGGTGGGGGGTGAGGATGATATGGGGATCAGCATCAGAAACGACGGATTGACGTTAATATTGTGATGTTCCACCGGTTTTGTCGAGCTTGGAGCACTTGCTTGCGTTGGTTTCCGGACCCTCTACTTTGGTTTCGCCGCTTGCAGGCCGTTTTCGGTTAAGTTTGCCGAATGTAAACAAGAAGGAAAAAAGGACACGCTAAAAATTGATTACCCAGATTATGTATTGTTGAAATAAACATGCTTTTGAATTTAATTTAAACATACATATTTTTGTTGAAAACATGTTTTTAATTTACTTTGAACTATTCATATTTTTATTTAATAAACATATATATTTTTAACTTAAATGAAGAAAATTTGGTTCCGTGTAGTAGCCTATTGGTCCCAAGCAAACGATTAACGTACCCTATTCTAGTTGAAATTCTATTACTACACTATGTTTGTTTTGATTCGCTATGAAAGTTTGACAGATAACATCAGGGGTGTGTGGATTCATGCAGAACATGCAGGGGTGAGTGAAATAGCTTGGGACTGCTTGGGACCGTTGTTCTGGTACTGAGTGAGCCAAAAATAATAATGATTTTCTTCGGGACCCAGTGGTCTTAGAGTTACCTCTATGGTTGTTCCGTACTGTTTTGGCCGGATTTGGCATCTTGCCATTACGGTAAAAAGGCCATGGAGTGGTACGCCGCCAACAACGTGCAGGTGGTTCCCAAGGACAAGAACCCTCCCAACACGCCAGAGCTCCGCCCAATTGAGAAATACTGGGCTATTGTCAAGCGGAACCTAAAGAAGACCAAAAAAACTGCTAAGGGCGAGCAGCAGTTCAAGGCAAACTGGCTTTCTGCGGCGAAGAAGGTGGACAAGGTGGCTGTACAAAATCTGATGGCAGGGGTCAAGCGTAAGGCCCGGCAATTCGGATTTGGAAAAGCGGAAGCCTAACTGAATATTTTTCCTGAATTTTATACTAAAAAAAAAAAAAGAAATTTAATTTGATTTTTTAAATAAACGATTTCACCGATTTACACGCGTTTTCCCTTGACCAAATTTTGACCGTATCACCCTTTAATAGGAAAAGTTATTTTGTCTACATTAAAAAAACAAAAGTGTATTTTTCTTGAATGAATGTATTGAAATCAGTTATGGCGGTAAGCTCCAACCGGTACTATCCTCGGATTAAATCCCGATCCAGAGTGTAAGGTTGATTTGGTGTTGACGTCGGTGTTGATCAGTTCTATCTTAAACCAAAATTTGACAGATCTTCCAAACAGGGACGATATTAAAAGTTAATCCGAAACATATACTGGAACCGAGGACAACAACTCAAATATGTTGTTGTTTTGATATTATTTGACGTTTTGTCTCGCGTTATGTTTGACAAAAAATGCATTAATCACACGCTAACTATAAAATACTCAGTGATGAGTAAAATTACATGTAGTTTGATAAATTCTTGTATCACACATATTCCATTAATAAGCTCGTGAACGAGCTCATGAATTAGTATGTGTTATGCACTCGGTTATCCATCGATGAACAATTTTTACTCATTTGTGGATTACAGTTACTGATTAATAGGCAATTTATTAATCATTTATGGTGGTGAGCTCCAACCGTTATTATCCTCGGATTAAATCCCGATCAAGAATGTCTGGCTGCTTTGATGTTGACATCAAAGTTGATCAACACGACTCTTAGAAGAAAAAAAATTGCAAATCATCCAAACAGGGACGGTATTAAAAGTTAATCCGAGTTGGAGCTTACCGTCATAATTGTGTTTTTCACAAAATGGGAGAAATCCTACACATGAATGGGTACTATAAAGTTACCAGGCAGTGAAAGAACGTCAATAATATATTTTAATGCATTTTTTTTTGTGATTTGAGCTCGCATTTGTCTGTGTGTGGCAGTTTTATCGCATTTTTAGTATTTTTCTGTCAGTAGCGAATATTTGTGTATATATTTTATTCGTCAAATATTTATGTATTTTTTTCGAATTTTACATTTTTATTGTTTTTTATTTTTTTTTGTAATGAGTAATGATGAATTTTTGTGTTTTTTTTTTCACTTTCGTATTTTCGATTCAATAATCAAGAGCAGGGAATAGCCCTTCGGGAAAATCAGACTTGTGAAAATCGATTTGTTTTTTTCTTGTTTGTAATCACCCAATGATGCGTTTAACGTATAAAACAAAAGAAATAATTTTTTTTCGCGAGTCTTATCTTACAGCTTCCAAGTGGAACGACAATACTCGTTGAGGGCTACCGCCATAAGCATATTTCAATTCGACAGATTGTACAAATACAACGTTGTGCGAATACAGCGCATTTTGTCCGACGTTATGTTTTACATACAAATCGAGAGTAAAATCAATTGACCACTTTGTCAAGCAGTTTTGGTGTGACTTTCTACCAGCAATTTCACAAAACAGGACCAAAAAATTACTATTTTTTTATAAAACACACAAATTTCGGCTACTTTTCTCGTTATTCTAGAAGAATTTTTTTTATTCTTCTATTACGAAGTTCAAGTGGTAGTAAACGTCATTTTAACTGCTCGAATGAAGTGGTTAATTGGCCCGTGTTGGAATTTTCGGTTTTCTACTTTGCCGTATACGTTACTATACGAATGAATTGTATTGGTAGAAAAATATTTCGTTTGTTATAAAACCGCTTTAAAGCAGTCAAGCTGTACTTATACCTGTCATTAAAACTGGTATAATGCTAACTATATTTTCCGTGTAAAAAGCGTACTTTCCACCGCTAGGTGGCTTTCTAAAGTACATTGATTTTTTTTCACTTTTCGAAGCAGAGATGAGCTTCCTTTCTTTGCTTTCAGGCTCTGAACCATTTGGTGGATTATTTTAACTTTTGGTTAAAATTTGACAGATGCAAAGTTATCGATTAACCCTGCTATCCGAGCATGGTTATATCTGACAGACAAGAAGTTAAATTTTGACAACCGTGGCTCGAAAACCGGTCGATCGACAGCACGGGGATTTTCGAACATAGAAAATAACTTTCGAAATGTCACTTTTAACCACGAGTTAAATTTAACTCCGCAAATGGTTCACAGCCAATGAGATGGATTACCGAGGTGAAGCAATCACTCACACAACCACTGTACGATACACGCAAGTACACGCAAGTAGTGACGTCACCTCTCTCTGTACCTCATTGGTTCACAGCCTCAGAGACACCCTGTTTTCTAACTGCACACGCTATTTCAAAACTCCCCAAATTTGTGTAGAATCCACCCAGATCGGTCAAAACTGAACCTACCTAAAATTGGGTCAACTATGTTGGGAGTGACAGGTTGACAAATGAACAACGTCGATCGGATTCATGTCAATGTTGTTCATTTGTCAACTTGTCACTCCCAACACAGTTTACCCACTCGTGGGTAGGTTCAGTTTTTACGGATCTTGGTGGATTCTACCCAAATTTGGAGAGTTTTGAAATAGCGTGCATACTCACTATAATCTGACAGCCACGCGAAAACAAAACATCTGCCCGGGAAAAAAATTCACAACAGCCATCAGCGGTTGGAAAAAATCGCTGTGTTCTTTCGATTTTCCGGTGGAAATTCAGTATACATTGGTGAAAAACTATCGAAAATTGTGACTTTAAAGTGAACAAGCGACAACTTAAACAATGTCGGACGACGGTGTTATCGTAATTGAAGACTCGCCGCAGCGGAAATCCATCAGGTTTGTTTGGTTCTTGGTTACAGTTCTTTCATGTTTTACCGTTGTTAAAATTCGTCCTCCAGTTGCGAACAAATTCCGGAATTATTCCTGGATAAGCTGATCGCCAAGAAGCACTTCAGTCAATTCGGACGAATCTACCGGTTCATACTGCGGCCCAAGCGCCTTTCATGTACGGTGGAGTACGAGAATGCAGAGGCGGCGGAAGCCGCTTTGGCCCGGAGTGGCCTCTTCCGGGATGTCAAATTCAACGTGTACTGGACGGATGAGGCACCGGCGGCTGTGGTCGGTGGTTCGAGTAGGGATGAGGGATTCGTCGATCCGGAAGTGCAACAGGAGCTGGATACCATGAGCGGAGGGCCAAGCAGTCTGAGGACCAAGCAAAGCATCAAGCAGTGTGAGTTTATAGTTTTGCTCGCGGGGTGGTGTGGGTTATTTAATGGTGATTTTTTTTTGTAGCGATTGAATCGTTCCTAAAGCAAACGGAGCGCTTCCCTATGCATCCGGTGTTGGCACCACCGAAACCACTGCGGATGCCAATGATGGCTCCACCGAGGAATAATATTCCGTCAGCCGATCCGAAGGCGTTCCAGGCGAAAATGGAATTTGAGTCCCTAGCGAGGAAGCCAGCTCTAACGGCGGAGGAACGGTTCAGGCTGCTGGATGCACGAGATAAGTATATCCGCTTTACGATGGATCGAACGACGGACATCAGGAAGGCCAAAAGTACACAGGGAACGTGTAAAGATATGTGTCCCGAGAAGGAGCGTTACATGAGGGAATGTAAGTTTCAGGTGGCATCCTACGAGGCGGGGGAGAGTTCGCAGCAGATAGACCACGCGAAAGCGATCAAGCAGTATTCGAGAAGTTCGGCGGATCAGGAGGCACCTTTGGCGCTTGAGTTGCGTTCGGAGAATGGTCTGGAGCTAGCAATGAGTTATTTGCTAATCAGGATCGCGGATTTGTGTGACGAAGAGGACGTTAATTTAAGTGACTGGTTCCATTTTCTATGGGACAGGACCAGGGGTATCCGGAAGGACATCACGCAGCAGGAGTTGGGTTCGCTGAGGGCGGTTCGATTGGTGGAGCAATGTGCGAGGTTTCACATACATTGTGCGGCCCGGCTGGTGGCGGAAGAGCCGTCCGTGTTTGATCAGAAAATTAACACGGAAAATATGACCAAGTGCTTGCAGTCGCTGAAGTATATGTACCACGATTTGGGGCTGAAAGGGATTCGTTGTCCGGCTGAGGCCGAATTTCGGGCTTATGTGGTTCTGTTGAATTTGAATGATGGGAACTTTCTGTGGGAGGTCAAGCAGCTTGCCGGGGACATAATGCACTCGCAGGAGATTCGATTTGCTCTGCAAGTCTACTTCGCTCTGGAGAGTAACAATTATGCCCGGTTCTTTCGGCTAGTGCGTCAGACGACCTACATGAATGCGTGTATTTTGCTGCGGTACTTCAACCAAATCCGGACGCGTGCCCTGGAAACGATGCTCAGGGCATACACGTATCGTACACCGGCTAGCTTCTCCTTGGATCACCTCATCGATCTGTTAGCCTTCGAAGACACAGAAGCAGCTGCATCGTTCCTGGATGCGTACAACCTGCCGATCGATCTATCGCTTGGAACCGTCCTAATGGACCCGAAGCAGTACGAACGCCCGGATCTACCCTATCAGCTGGAAAGAGCCTTCAACCTCGTCGAATGTAAGCGAACTTGCAGCGTAGGGGAAGCCATTTCCGGTCAGCCGTTGCAGGACGAATCTATTCTGGACAACCATCAGCTAGAAAATAGCTTCACACCGTCCGGTTACTTCCGAGAGGATCTTCTCCGCTCCATCCTTAAACCCAGCAAAATTCCCGACCCTTCTAGCCCGGTCAACGATGACGACAAAGTCTTCAAAGTTCCGTCTCCAACTTCCATCTCTCCCAAACCTCTCTTCCCAAAACCGACAACCAACAGCAACCTCTTCCTATCGTCCCGCAACTCGTACAAAATCGAAACCAACAGCCCTGCTCCGTCGGTGCCGTCTTTCTTCTCTAAGGAGAGCCCTACAAACCTGTCCGGTATAACAGCTCTTCCGCAACAGGCCGAACAACAGCCAAAACCGACCGCCTTCGGAGCGAACCTCTTTGGCAACGTGAACTTTGCCAGTCCAAAGACCAGACTGTTCGGAAGCATTCCCGTCGCAAAAACGTCCTCGGAAGTCGATGCAATTTTCCGAGGTCCCACGCCAACGTTTCCGTCGATGGAGCAAGCGCGTGAACTCGCCACTAAGCGGTTGCTGGAGGAAGAAATGATACGGAAACAGCAACAGGAAGAGGATGCCAAGCGGAAACGGCAGCAGGTGGAGCAGGAGTTGCGCAGGAAACGTGAAGCCGAAGAGGAACGGATTCGGCAGGAGTTGATTGCCCGAAAGGAAGCGGAAATCCGACGGCTCAAGGAGATGGAGGAGCAAAGCAAGCGGGAGCTGGAGGAAACGGTCCGGAAGATGTCTGAGAAGATTTACGCCGAGCTAGTGGACGATGTGTGCGGGCAAGAAGTCGGTCAGATTGCCACTACCTGCCACAATCAGTATCAACTGTTGGAGAAATACCCGAAGAAACTGCTGAAAGAGCTAGAGGATGAAGTGGTGCTGGAATTCCTGGTTGAAATGGTTCGGGAGGAGACACTGGTGAAGAACTGCCAGGAGAACCGCCAGCTCAATGTGATGCGTAAGTACTTCCGGTTGTGGTGGAAGAACGTCCGGATGGTGACGGATAATCGAATGCAGATCGAAAACAGTCCGGCATGGCTTCCGGAGCGAGAGTTGCAGGAACAGGCAAAGGAATGCTATCAGGAACATCAGGCACTCAGCCTGGCCAACATGAAGCGCTACGTCGGAGGAATGCCGAAAGTTTTCCAACTTCCGGAACGGAAGGAAGAGCAAGTCGATGTATTCGAGATCGTTCGAAGGCAGATTACTACTGTGCAGAAGAAGGACTTGCGAGGGTTCATCAAAAATCACGTCTACTGGAAGATAACGATTTCCATACCATTCAAACAGGAGGAAGATTCGTCCGGTTTCTACTACTTCATCAACAAGTGGTTGAAGAGCCTGTTCAAAAGATCTTCGGAAAATGACGGCAAATGTTTCTTTCTGGAAGTGCAGGAGAATGTGACCGCTCGCGAGCGGCTGGCGGTCTGCATGAGGCTGCTCAAAGGGATATCAATTTTCGATGAACTAAATACTAATGATCCTAAGGCGTTGGATAACTCAGATGGTCTCGTATTCTTCCTGGCATCGAATAATGTTGCCATATCGAAGCAACGGCTGCACAATCTGCTCCGGAAAGCTGACTCCTGGGGACCATTACCTGTAACCATAATCGCCTACAACTACCAGCCAAACTCGGACGAATCCCTGGAAGACCAGCTGGATCTTGATCTTCTCCTGGAGGAAGGGAAAATCAGTGACTTTGAAATCGTCTACCACCATGAAACTAGGAAAACCCCTCTGCGCCAAGCTCTACTGAAATCTCTAGCCCTTCTCGCGTCCTACTACAATGCAGACTCCCCGTTGGAAATGCAATCCCAAACATCCTTCATCGGAACCTGTCTCGGTGAGGAGCTGTGGTATCGCTTCCGCCTATCGTCGCAACAGAATCCCAAACTCAACGAAGCCTGTCAAAATCTTCCATTTGTGGTAGATCTTTTCAACCAGGCAATCAATCGTGTTTCCAACCTGGTTCAGCACAATCTCACCGCCTATCCAGATTTCCCGGCCGAGTTCAAACCGTTCGTCTCGAAGCGTCGCTTCGACATTCCCCTGGACCTGGAGTACTTTCCCAAAGACTGGCGCGATCCGGATCGTCAACAGAAGCTCGTCCGCTTCTTCACCCAACTGAAACTTAAAGCCATCATCTTCGACGCTGCAGCCCTCAAATCCCTACAAGACCTTCAATCCCACCTTCGGCCTTACATTCGTTCATTGCTCCCAAAGCCGAACGAAAAAGCCGCCCGTCGACTCCTTGCCCTCGTCACCCAAGAAATCCTCCGGGCCCTCCCCACCGGAGTTCCCTTCCCGCAAGCCATCACAACCCTTAATTGGCTCTCGCCCATCTCAATTCTCTCCAACGAACTCCTCCGGCATCGCTGGAGTGAAGCTCTCGTCCAGTTACCCTGCGAGGTAATCTACCACAAGCAGGAATACGAAAGCTACACCCGAACACTCTGGTGGCTGCCGGAGCTGAAAAAGCTCAAACGACGATCTACGACCGACGACGCGCAGCTACAGATTAGCACCAATGGCGAAGGCCTGGACACCGGCGGCAGCGAGAACGACGATGGGGGGTACGTGGATTCCCTGGATGGGTCCCTAGCGCTGGCGGCACTGCCGGCGGCGAAGAAGATGAAGCTGAACATCAGCCTGGCGAAGGATGATCTGGACGAGATACTGGCCCGGGGAAGACGATGCCTGGAACGGGCCGACGAGAAGCTGACCCAGTGTCGGGCGTTCACCCAGCAGACGCGGGATCTGGCCAACAAGCTGGACGGCCAGCTGTACGAGCAGGAGAAAACGTTCCGAGAGAACCGCTGGACTTGGGAGGCGAATTTTCGGTAGCGTCGTTGAGAAGGCGGATTGTAGTTTGAGCGTTTAGCAAGGTTAAAATAAATGACTTTTTTTTTTGTTCAACTGAAATGAGTGTTGAGGAAGTTTTTTGTGAGTCCGAAACTGAATGATGGAATTGGGTTAATTAGCGATTACTAATTTCAATTAATATTAATACGTCTTAGTATGTTACAGTTTTACTAGGTCGTTTTTACGACTTCCACTGTAAGATTCCTGCAACTTTTCTTGGATGTTTATTCCGGGTTTCCCCAGAAGTGCTTTTGGCTTCCTTCTGTTGTTTCAGTCGACATCAACTGAGATTTTCCCTCAGACTATCGGTACCAGGCCGAATCATCGAACGAAAATGTTCTATAAACTACAATCTACTCTTGAACCTTGGAGATCGACAGAAGATAATTCAGTTTCCATACTTCCGGAATCCGGTAAATTGCTTCCATCTTGACAAAATTGGTAATCTTGGCCCTCCTACTTCGTGCTCCCATTGGTGAAATAATGTATTCTTAATTACTGAAATTCCCCACAGTGGAAGGGACGTTCGGTATCTTACCATCAGAAGTACACATGAACATTATTTCGAACAGAGAAAAGCTTTATTGAATTACTAAAAAAAAATATCGATGTATTACAGATCAAAAGATGGCTCCTGCAATCCTACAGCTGGTCTTCATTTACTTTTAGAAAAAAAAACTCCCATCCTACCTCGTTTTCCGGACCCTTCCGTGATCACTTCCTTCCCAAGTTGACCAACTTTTGCACGATTTTGTTCGCATCTTTAGCATGAAGCAGACCTTCGTTGGGATTGTTCTCGTCCTTCTGCATTTCGTTCTCTTCGCCATCAGTACTGCTGGCTCCTTTGAGCGATGCCACTCCCTTAGCATGGGCCTGAACATGCAATGCATACTCGACCGCATTCAGGAACCTTCGGTTGCAAAGGTGACACTTCATCTCCTTCTTCGGTGTGCGGGTAATTCCGGTATGGCCAACTGTTCGTGCCTTCTTCCGGATGGCTCCCGTTGATGACGTGGGTTGGGTGGTTCCACTCCCGCTTGCGTTGTTGGAACTCGTGTCTCCGATGCTGCTCGATGCAGACGTGTCCGAATTGACGGTGCTTCCCGAGGATGGAAGTTTGATGTGACCGTTGAGAGGGGTGGAGGAAGACTTCGAGCTTGATGCTCGCTGTAGGTCGTTTTGAGCCAGCAGTTTGCGTTTGTCGGGGATCGGGATCTTCAGGCAGTTGATAATCAGGTGATTTGAAAGGATTTTTGCATTAATGAAAGTTTTAGAGCAGTAACGGCACTTTGTGTCTGCAGCTTTGCCCGCTTCAAGGGATGTCCCCGGGGAAGCGATGTCATGCTGGTGGGCTAGTTTTTTGTGCGTTTCCAACGATGATTTCAGGCGGAATGGGCGCTGGCAAATGTCACAGGTAAATGATTCCGGTCTTTTGAAAGCGGTAGGCGCAATGCTGGCCATAGACGGCGGTCGAATTCGGGGAGTCGGTTTCGTGGCCTCCTTGGGAGAGCTTTCACTTTTGGACTCTGTGACCGGTGCGAGAGATTTGCGTTGCTTTGCCAGCGGTTCGATAGAGGAATCTGTGGTGGGTCGCTTTCCGTGAGAAATTCGCCGGGTGGTGTCACTGCTGCTGAGAGTCGTCTTTGCCGGAACCTTCAAGGGGACTTTTGGAGGAACTGAAAGGAGTTTTTAAAAATTTCATCAAAAAACCCGACTTTGTTTTTAGGAAAATCACTTACTGGGAACTACAGATCGTCGGAAAGCCTTTACCGGTAAGATCGATTTCCGGGACGCAACCGCAGTCGGAACAACGGATTTGCGTTTCATAGCAATACTTGTAGATGGTTTCAAAGACGCCCCAACTCTAGGAGCAGGAAGAATCGACTTTCGGTTTGGTCCTACTTTAACCGAATCGCCAATCACTTGTTCCTCTTTCGGGATTGTTGAAACTTGTGCAACGACAGTTTTCGTAGAAGGTATAACCGATTTCCGCTTCACATTTACCAAATCCGATTGACCGATCTTTCGCATCTCTTTCAATCGATCCGGAATCAACTTCACAGTGCTGGACTTGCGTGAAGGTTTCACAATCGGGGAAGCAACTCGGTTCTCATTCAACTTGATACCGATATTTGAGCTTCTGGTCTTGATACGCTCTGCAGCCACCATTGGAATCAGTGACTTTCGTACACCCTTCTTCCGCTCGCTAAGAGGCCTATTTTCCTTACCTTGTTGCTCGTTCGGGGCCTTCTTCAACGACTCAAAGAAATTCTGGAGTGAATTGGAACTTCGACGTTTCTCCGGGGTCACTTTGACATGCTCTTCCTCCGGATCGTTTACCTTTATTTGCGGAAGTGGCGTCGCTTTATTCACATCCAACGAATCGAAAAACTCTGCCAGAACGTTCGTCCCGAAGGATTTTTGCGCAACTGTTGAAGCAGCGATGTCCACAACCGATTGAACGCTACTTTCCTCCCCTTCTTCCGTAGAGGAACATTCCGACAGTTTCGGTTCCCGCATTTTCTTCATCGCCGAAGGCAACTCCCTCTCATCCGTTTCGTTCAATTTACCAATACCACTCAGATTCTTGCCAACACTCCGCAGTGCTTTGGCCGGCGTTGAAGACACCCCCAAGTACTTGCAGCTCATCTTGCTGGCCACTTTGACCGTCGCTGGCGATGCCACCATAATCATCGGCTTCCGGATGGTGCTCACTTCCTCCACACTAAAATCGTTCTCCAACGTGTGGTCGATCGATGTATCTTCCTTCATTGCCACCTTCTTTTCTCCATCCACCATTGAGGCAGAAGCACCGATATTGTTAGTGGCTGTCTCATTTCCGTCCTCGGTCATGGTGTAGTACAGTGAACTTCCGGATGTGATGCTATCGTCGTTTGCCGTCTCATACCCGGCGCCGTTGCCTAGCGACTGACAGCTGGAATTCAATCCCGCTCCCGCAGACGAACGAATCCGAAGTCTCGACATACGGTCCATTCTGGGCGACACTGGATTTTGTATTTGATCAACTGTAATTATATTTATTTAATTAGCTGATTGCTTGTCCAATATTGCTCACACGACCGGGTCTCGAAAGCAATGTCCCAGATACTTACCCAGGTTGGGAGGAACGTTTTGACAGAACTGAAAATTTCACCTACACCTAACAATCAAGGTAAATCGCGTTGCTACCCGGAATAGGCGTTAATAATCCAATAGCCGATTGCTACTTGGATCTTCTTGTATGCAGAAATTACAAAAAAAAAAAACGAATGAAAATACGGTTTTTTTCGATCACAGAAAATAAAATCCACCAAACCCGATTGGCAAAATGCAACTGACAAAAACAAAAGCGTTCGATGATGTCCGCTCTTCGCATTTATCGCTCATTCTTGGTCGGTAAGGCAGGGTAATGTTTTTGAAAATGTGGCTGCGTGCTGAGAATCGGGTCATACACGCTAAAAATTAGTTTACCATTTTCTCCACGTTGCAAACAAATACAGTCTAACCCCTGTAATTCGAAATCTTAAGGGCTCATCATTCCTTAAAATCTCTAACTTCCTTGAAGTTCCCTTATAAACAAATACGATAAACGAACTGTGTCCCGGATGGGTAAACTATCCCGACCAACCATTAAATTAAATTTCTTTAAATTGCGATATATCGGCCTTTAAGGCCATTCATATTAAAAATCGATAGCTATCGTCACCATGAAGAAATTCAAAGATACTCCAAGTCTAGCTCCAAGTCTAATAATGAATAATTTATAAAGATTTTTATCAAAATCCCGATACCAATCGTTAACGATATAAACACAGACAAACAGACATAACTCTCATAAGTTGTTCATCGATCAAGCATTTAACGGTCAATTTAAAAGTATCTCAGTTGGTAGTACTGCCACCTGTGGCGCACATAGTCAATTCACTTGCGTTTGACGTTTACACACTACCGCCATCTGTTCAGCGTACTACCCACCACAGTGTACTCAACAGATGGCGGTAATGTTTTAGCGGCGATGTTTTACAATGATAAATATTCAATGTGTTATGCCTGTTTGTCTGTGATATAAAGATATCGATTTATGTTGCCAGTTCAGTACTGATCTTTACATGGATCTATTTGAAACGTAATTTTTCTTTTCCTTTATTTAACGGCGGTCTCTGTTCCGCAATCTCACACCAAATTTTCAAATCCTGTTCCAGCTAAATGAATTGCTGAATCGCGTCCAGCAAAACTAACTTTAACTGAATAATCAGTAATATGAAATATTTTGCTGAACTTTCCAGTAAACTGTATTAAACGTCAAAATCGGGCTAAAATCCATCATTATCTCATTCACGGTTTATGATTATTTTTATGTTCAGTGTTCGACTAACAAAATATCTTTGAAATTATATAAAAAAGAGCGTTTGCCATGAAGTAAGTATACTAAACTACCTTAGCAACCTGAATCAAGTTGAAAAACTATCGTTTTTCTCTGAAATTTACAACTTTCTCCATTAGTAAACTTACACAGGAGTCTCCTTAATAAAGAAACAACAACAACAACAACTCACCCAGGATGGAACATCATAGCTTCTTCAAGAAAATTTTTTTAAGAAGTGCAGTAACATTTAATAAATTACTATATTCAACTACATGGAAATGTAATCAAATATTTATTCCAACCAGTGCTGCACAATTTCGACAATACATGGTGATACTCAAAATTCTGCTTTGGTCACTCGTTTGAGCTAACAGTCATCGTCAAGGCAAACCATGTCAATTGTCAGTGGCATTTTTGTCAGTGACGAACATGTGCTGATTTGTTTATTAGCTAAATTTAAAATGAAATAAAATGGCTTGAGCAAAACAATTACATGGAGCCATTAAAGTGAACAAGCATCTACGTCCTGAACAGCTTGGATAACAAAAATGTGACTCAGAATGCAAGAAATTACCCTTTCTGTTACCAGGTGAATCTTTGTCATTGACGAAAAAATGAATGAGATTTTGACAAAGATTTTTTTGAGGATCAAGTCTATCATTGACTATGTGAAAAACAATTTTGTCAATATCGTGCAAAAGTCTGTCAATGACAATGACAAATCTCAGCACTGATTCCAACAATGAGATGCCTCTTTCTTAAAAAAAAAAACAACAATCGAGATTTGCTGCTCTTCCAGCAAAATGATTGATCTTCCGTTTTGCTGGATAATCAGTAAAGTGCTGTCAATTTGGCATTGTACGAAATTGCTGGTCTTCCAGCAAAAATATTTTGCTGGACGGATTGCTGAACTTTCAGCTCGGAAAAATCCAGCAAAATATTGCTGGTTTCCAGCGATAAAAAATGAGTGTGTAGTGCCAATCACCGACGGACATCGATTGCCATCCATTGACGGCAACCGAATGTGCAGGAAGGCAGCTTCCACACCTGCGTAGGATATCGCACCCATTCACATCACACATGGGCCGGGACCAACGGCTTTACTTCCCTTCCGAAGGAAGACGTGACCAGAGATTTTTATGCCTCAGAAAAATCCCACCGACCTCGGCTGGGATTGAACCCAGACCCATCGGGGTGTTAGAAAGCAATCACGCTTACCACGACACCACCGGCGCCGGCTGATTTGAAACGTAATTAAACATTTAAAAAAATATTTTTTGCGAAGCGCGGAAATTAAATATCTTATTTAATTGAATCATCTTAGCCAGACCAAAGATGAATACTAAGATGAATCTGTCGGAAGAAAAACTTTCTATTCTAGTGTCCTCTTTCACGGTCCCTTTCATCCAATGAATACACTCCGTATTCAAGGTAATTTTGTGATTTTGCTGCCCCCTCGGTTAGAGATGAAATTTTGCGCTCATTTTTATCAAAGCATCACACCAAAATCAGATATGTCCCATTTTGTAATTACTCGATTAACAACTAGTCGATTATATTTTGTTCGCTGTGCTGTCATTTTTCCACCAATAAGAGCACAGCACATGTTTGAAACGATCGGTGATGATCCTCTGGAGATGTTAATGCTTATATCGACATGATATAACCCATTACAAATATTTTACTTTTCGGTTCGTTAATCGATTAATCGATTATTCGCATGAAAATCGGCCATCACTAGATGTATGTGAAATGTCATTTCAAATATAAGGACCATACATAAATAGTGACACAATTTGAAAGGGACCGGGGCTAATCACAAATTACGTCCACACGGTAACTGAAATAAACGCGAGTGTTCACCGGTTGGCCAGACTGTGATCATCAACAGAAGTAAACATATTTCTGTCAATTACAGTGCTGATATTTTTAAGACTTTTTTAACTGCACAATTACTAGTTTCGATCCCATGCCATTTAGGGTATACTGATTTCGTTGTTGGTTGCAGATCCTCGGGTCTACGGCTGCTGTTGATGACCTTCCCAACGACTGCAAAACATACTCTTGTACATGGTGTGTCGAAGTTTCTGTACATTTATTCATGCATCTTTGAAATAGTTTGTCATAATATCAAAACAGTCAGTCGTCAAGGTTTCAAGTTTCCTCTTTCGTTTCAAAATGCCGAGAATTCTACCACGGATTCTTAAAAAAAGACCGAGAGCACATCGACGTAAACTTAAATTGGGTTCTTTAAGGGTATTGAGGTAAATGCATATTCGTAATCTGCATTAAAAATGGAACCCCATCCCAAAATTTCATGAATTTTGGTACACTGGAACTATTTTAAATAAATACGATTACATTTTCAAAAATCAACTTATTAGCGCCCCTCGGTGTCACTTTGTATGGGAGCGAGCTGGCAGTTTGTCAGTTTAGAGCATTTGTGGTTTGCTCCACACAGAAAAACTAAACTACCCACCGCTTGGGTTTTTTTAAACTCAAATTTGAGTTATTTGACCTCTGCCCGTTTCATTTCCTCTCGCTATTGTTGTCAAAAATAGAACGAAAGATTCGACTCAACCGTCTAGTTCCGTACGAGAAGCCAAAATTGAGTAATATGCGATATACCCAAATTTGAGTTAATTGAACTTAATTTTGGGTAGAAAAAATTGAAAATAACTTAGCGATGGGTAATTTCTTTTGCCGTGCTTAAATGCAAACTACTTTGAGCCGGTTTACCCAAATTTGGCTTATCGTACGGAACATGGGAGATGAGTGAAAAGAACTTAATTTTGGGTTGTTTTGAATTTCTGTGATGTTGAGATATTGACAATTGAAAAGAGTCATTTTTTCGAAGAAAATAGCCTTTAACCCTCGCTTTAACCACAGACTAACAGACATAACACTGGCAATTTGTTCGTCGAATACGCATTTAACGGCCAATTTAAATGTTTTTAGTAGGTAGTACCATAGAGGTAACTCTAAGACCACTGGGTCCCGAAGAAAATCATTATTATTTTTGGCTCACTCAGTACCAGAACAACGGTCCCAAGCAGTCCCAAGCTATTTCACTCACCCCTGCATGTTCTGCATGAATCCACACACCCCTGATGTTATCTGTCAAACTTTCATAGCGAATCAAAACAAACATAGTGTAGTAATAGAATTTCAACTAGAATAGGGTACGTTAATCGTTTGCTTGGGACCAATAGGCTACTAAACTGGTGAGCCAATTTAAAATCGTTAGTTTCGTATTGATTGTTGACCCAGTGGTCTTAGAGTTACCTCTATGGTTCTACTGTGATCTGTCAAAAGTTCTTGGTAAACAAAAAAAGTCAGCTGATCGCAACTGTCTCGTGGACATCCTTATCATGACAATGTGATCGCTGCGCTTCCAGATCTCCCTTTAAATCGACCCGCTGTGCCAATTTGTCAATAATACATGACACTTTGGACGGGGTTGCTGGCTTGTTTGGTCCACTGTTCGGATATACAAGTGGCAAGCCTTCCCCTTCACGGATCGCTCCAAAAATTGCTGCAAACGAACTGCAAATATATAATAAACAAAATTACTGTGCATGAAAAATATGACAATGGACAATGCTCGAGGAGCACTGGGAGTTTTCGAACGACGCGTGCTTAGGACCATCTTTGGCAGGGTATATGAAAATGGTGTATGGAGGAGAAGAATCTAGATAGAGCTGGAATTAGGGCGTAACAGCCTTTGTAAACAATGACTTCTCTTGTTGACAGACGACTAACTGGCGAAGAAATCAATTAAAATAATGTGGTTCGCTGTTGTTCGCGATTGAAACGAACGTAATGTGTTGTAGAAGTAGTAGAAGTAGTTGTTTTGTGTAATCGCCCTAACCACTTACCCAATCCTTTAAAACTCTACTAACCCCGAGGCGACCGCGGGTAATCGGTTTCCGAAACTAACCCTAATGT